GGCAGGAAAATAGCTTGAGGCCAGAAGTTCAAGACCAGCCTGAGCAACATAGCAAGTCCCCATCTCTACAAAAAATTTAAAAATTAGCTGGGCGTGGCTGTGTGCAACTGTAGTCCCAGCTACATGGGAGGCTTGAGGCAGGAAGATCCCTTAAGCCCAGGAGTTTGAGGTCACAGCAAGCTATGATCATACCACTGTACTCTAGCCTAGGCAACGAGCAAGACCCTGTTTTTTGTTGTTTTTTTTTGAGACAGATTCTTGCTTCGTTGCCCAGGCTAGCGTGAGTGCCGTGGCATCAGCCTAGCTCACAGCAACCTCAAACTCCTGGGCTCAAGCAATCTTGCTGCCTCAGCCTTCCAAGTAGCTGGGACTACAGGCATGCGCCACCATGCCCAGCTAATTTTTTCTATATGTATTAGTTGGCCAATTAATTTCTTTCTATTTATAGTAGAGACGGGGTCTCACTCTTGCTCAGGATGTTTTCTAACTCCTGACCTCGAGCAATCTGCCTGCCTGGGCCTCCCAGAGTGCTAGGATTACAGGCGTGAGCCACCACGCCCGGCCAAGACCCTGTCTTTAAAAAATAAAAAATAAATACCTCACCTTGATGGGGATTTCCTATAACTTCCTAAAGTATCAAGTTTCTCCTTCCCAAGTATGCCAGTATTTGAAAAAGTAAAACAATACACTCAAATTAGCTATTAATACATCAGTAAACACTATAGTTCTAAGTCCAGGGTTAGATTTTACCCAAACCAATGTCTTTTGACCATCATATATTAGCTGAACTGGCTTCCCTTCTTTATTCCCTCTATGCATCTCTCACTCAAGATTAGTTTTCTATGTGCCAAGTCCTGTACTTCACCAACAGTACTGACCCAAACACTACTTTCTCTTGGGAGGCATGGAAAACTAATGGAGGAAAAAAAAAAAAAAAAACTGGTCAAGCACAAGACAGAAAACCTAGCTAAGGATCAATCAGAACCAACCAGGCAGATGTTATTTATCTGGGTTTTGTCTTGTTTGAGGGGGTGGGAGGTTTCTTAGCCCACAGTCACCATGAGGGTTATGAGAAAAGGCATGCCATTCTATCCTCAAATAGTCCAAAGAGTTGGAAGGGACAATTTACAGCCTCTTGTGTAAGAATTGTCTATAAATGCCAGTGCCATTCTTTGCCCTGTCACTTCCCATTACCCTAAACTAACAAAATTCTATTCACTGAGACTTGAGCTGGAAACATGAATGAACAAACTTTTCTTGGGCAGAGAGAAAAGGGGAGATGATTTGGGGGGCGGGCAGGGGAGAGCCAGATTTCTTTAACTTTCTGTGTAGTGCTTAATGTGTGTATAGTATACTAGTGGAGCTGCAAACTGAAATATATGAGCAGTCATGCAAAAGTCGGCCTAGAAAGAATAGCAAAGATTCAGTTTCCTCAAATTTGTAATATGCTCAAACCACGAATCGAAAATATGAAGAGGATCAAGCTGAATGTTCTGAGAAAACAAAAAAAAGAAAGAAAAAATAAATAAAATACGAAGAGAAGATGAACTGATTGTGACAGTTTAAAAAAAAAATCATAAACACTATTTATTTGATCTATGGCTCATTTGCTCTCACACACTTCCTCTCTTTATTCATATACTATACTGGTCTACAGTGAAGTTCACTGACAAGAAATAGCAAGCAATCAGGGCCTTAAGCTGGATTAAGCAAACTCAAACCCTGTGCAATGGTGATGACAGGCCGGGTGTGGTGGCTCACACCTGTAATCCTAGCACTTTGGGAGACCGAGGCGGGTGGATCGCTCAAGGTCAGGAGTTCGAAACCAGCCTGAGCAAGAGGGAGACCCCGTCTCTACTAAAAATAGAAAGACGCTAATTAGTCAACTAAAAATATATAGAAAAAATTAGCTAGGCGTGGTGGCGCATGCCTGTAGTCCCAGCTACTCGGGAGGCTGAGGCAGTAGGATCGCTTGAGCCCAGGAGTTTGAGGTTGCCATGAGCTAGGCTGACGCCATGGCACTCTAGCCTGGGCAACAAGAGTGAGACTCTGTCTCCAACAACAACAACAACAACAACAAAAAAGTGATGACAGAAGGTGAGTTTCTCATTGTTCTGTTTAGAATGTGAGGATGGAAGAGAGGCATCTTCACATTACCTACTTATTTCCACCATTTGTACCATATCTAACTGAATAAAATATGTGCTTAGAGAATTATAAAACTTAGGAGGTTATAATGGAACCCAAAATCCCAGAATGAGGTGGACAGATGTGTGCTGATCTGAGTGTTCCATAAATACAAACTCAATCATGTCATTAACCTTGGCCAACCAAAGAAATACTAGGTAGCACTATTCATCTCTGGTGATAAAGACTAGTTAAGCACAAGACTCTGAACCAGGCAACTCTAACCAGAAAATGTAGTAGCCACTCGAAACTTTAGAATTTGGGTCTAGAACACTAAGTTCTAGGGGAAAAAATCCTTCCTTTTCCTATCTCTTATTCCCTTTCTTCTAACTTCTCTCCTTCCACAGATTCACTCTGAAACTGCTTATATTTTCTACATGTATTAAAAAATCCTGGTTACAGAAACAATGGTCCAAATACATGGTCTGATAAAGGATTTCTATGCTACTTCCAAGTGTCAAAGTTTTGTGGAAGATGTAAGTTAGACCTGAGTCGTCTAATACAGTAGCCACTAGCCACATGTGGTTGCTTAAAATAAGTTCTATTGGTCAATACTGGTCTAGACAGCAAAATATCACCATTTCTGGGACACTGCAATGGTTTATGGGCAAATTAGAGTAAACTGTTTAAATTAGGATGGTTCTGAAAATTTAGATTAATTTAAACAAAACCTATTATTGAAAAAGGACATCTCAAAAAGTCATAAACCACAAAGCACAGTAGTCCCTGGAAACCATATATATGTATAGTGAAGTGCTACTCAAAATATGGTCTGCCTCCCGATGCTGGTCTCCAAACTGTTTCTTACCAGTTTGCAGTAGTCCAAGAATTGAACATGTTTAGAAACTTCTACAATAATTTAACATTGCTGTGACATTTTAATTGTATTTTACAAAAGTATCACTCTGCAACAAATTGGAAATTTTTAAAAACTAGTTTGGCACAGGTAATTTGAGAAGCACTATTCTAGCAAATATATATATATATATATGCACTATATATATTGACAATGAATGTTGTCAGAGAAGGAAGCTCATAGCCAGAGTTTTGCCAATTACCATTATCAGATTACCACCCTCCAGAGATTTAAAATAGGAAATGAAATCTTATCAATGATGAGATAACTAAACACAAAAGTTAATTGACTCAATTAAGGTCATAAAGCCAGCTTACTGACAAAATTGAACTAAGAAAAAGGAAGAAAACTAACATTTATTGAGGGTCAAAGTGTTACTATGTTAGATAATTTCAAATACTCTATATAATTATTTACTCTTACAATCAGGTTTTTGGTATTACTCTAAGCTTTGCTGATGAGGATCAAAGAAGTTTAGTAATTTGCTCAAGGTCACAAAGTTAATAAATGTATCTCTTTGTTTTATTCAGCTTCCTGTGGACTAAAATTGAAAACAGGACAAATATGGAGAAAGATTCTAGGGAAGGGAAGAGAAAGGGCTGAGCCAATATCCCTGAAATAAAATACTATAAAAATAACTCACATAGACAGTATAGTGTTGATTGACAAATTCCTCTTAGGAATGTGTCCATATGAACCAAATAGTACAGATATTATGTTCAATTTTATAAATTCTGAAAGAATACAGAAACACAGACAATTCCCTCAAAGATGGGGTAAAGTTATTGCTTGAGTTCTCAGACATCTAGACCACATACACAAACGGAGACAAATGAGAACCAGGGCCCTAGATCCAAGGCACCCTTCTCCCTGGCCATCTAGCACAACACAAATGCCTTTTGGTTTATAATGGTTCTTCTCAATTAACCTGTATGTGGTTTAAAAATCACATACCCTGCCTCTCAACTCATTTGTTCTTATTTCACATAAATCAGCTAGTATTCCCTCTAAGCATCTATATCTCCACATCACATTAGGCACACACACAGACCTAATTTTATATTTCTGCTAAACAACAAAAACATAATCTAAATGGAAGGAAGATGGAGCAAAGTTGTGTGCGAAGTTATGTGTTCCATAGCAGCATAATGATTACTTTTAGTGCTTAGTTTTTTCCCTAAGCAGAAAACATAACCAATATCAGTTCAGTTTCTTCTAATGGCCTTATAGAGAGCTAAATGTTTTCATACCAAAGTCGGAAATAAGTATTTTTTTAGCAATGCTTTTTCTCTTTAAAATACCCTGCCATCACTTCAACAAACAAGAAACATGCTCTCATTCTCAAAGAAAAAAAATTAAGAGACCACCTCCCTCTAGGCAAATAGGAGAAGGAGAGTAAGGCCTTAACATTTCTCCAGTGTGCCTAGCAAAACTCCAAAAGCAGCTATGCCTTGGAGAGCTGATCAACCCACAAAGCATGGTGTCAACAAAGTCATCTTGCTTAATAAGCTAAACAGTATCAGTTAGCAAAGGGACAGAAAGAATGAAATAACTTTCTTATTTTTGTTCCATAGAACTTCAAGTTTTGTTTTTAGTACTTTTGACCTAAAGACAGAACTGTCTTCTCCTGGTTATTTTACTTCCGTTATATCTATATGAGAAGTTAAAATACATGTAATAAGTTTTAATATCACTGAATTAAACATCTTAACCAAGAGAAATATAGACCATGCTCAGTCTGGTGAAAGCTATGAAAACAATCTCTGGAAAAATATAATAGCTTGTGAAACAATTCCTATAATGTAACCAATAGTCAGTGAGAGGAGGTAATATTCAAAAGAGTAAGTCAAATAAAGTGCTAAGTAGCCAGCTATATTCTCATGAGAGTCATCTGCAGTCTATATAGCCCAAGCTGCTCTAATGTTGGAAAAACAGCACTTCTGTTCAGTGTACTTGCCTTTCTGGAGATTGAAGACACATTCAAACCAAATCTTTGAGCTCTTTCCTTTAGCTTATCTAGGTTAACCTATAAAACATGGGGGGGGGGGAGAACATATTTTAAAAAATCAAAACAGAAAATTGAAAAGGCATAAATTATGATCCAAAGCTAAGAGTCCAAACAAGCATATAACATGAAAGATGCCCTATGTGCCAAATTAGGAAACTAAGCAGCACCTATCCATCCCATTGATTATTCATTCTCTTCTGGAATGCAATGAAAAATTCAGCCCTGTTTCCTTTGTTCATCAAAGATAGCAAGAAGGCCGGGTGCAGTGGTTCATGCCTGTCGTCCTAGCTTTCTGGGAGGCCGAGGCGGGTGGATACCTGCTGCTTGAGGGGTTTGACACCAGCCTGAACACTGCCTGAGCACAGTCAGACCCGGTCTCTAAATCTAAAAAAAAAAAAGTAAAAAAGGCAAAAAGAAAAAAAATAATACACAAAACCCAACAAAGATAGCAAGAGCGTAAGGAGGGTTTAAGATCAAAGTAGGCCAAATTCTGCAGGAAAAAGCAAACATATATGTCTACATCATCACCTCCAAACAAGTCCACCATTAACAGTCCAAAATCAAATTCCAAATACATAGTCTCACAGTCTCTGCAAATAGTTCTTAATTCTAACTCCAAACAAAAAGAACTATCACTGAAGCACTCCCTTCTTCAGCATATAGTCTACCACCACTACCCAACTCAATTCTCCCTCCTTTTTCTTGGAAGCCTTGGTATATAGAACTTGTTATCATAAGGATGTTTAAGACATTTTCATTAACAATGATATTTAACCTTCACTTACAATATTAAACAGTAACCTCAAAAGTGAGATTTCACAGAGATGAATGTACTTCAACAAGTATTTGTTTCCACTTTCTAAACATGCTGACTAGTCACAATGGCCTAGAAGACCATTCTTAATTCCCTGCTTTTATATTTAACAGATAGTGTTTAAAAAAAAAAATAGAGGCTGGGCGTGGTGGATCACGCCTGTAATCCTAGCACTCTGGGAGGTCGAGGTGGGCGGACTGCTCGAGGTTAGGAGTTCAAAACCAGCCTGAGCGGGACCCTGTCTCTACTAAAAATAGAAAGAAATTAATTAACCAACTAAAATATATATATACAAAAAATTAGCCGGGCATGGTGCCGCATGCCTGTAGTCCCAGCTATTCGGGAGGCTGAGGCAGTAGGATCGCTTGAGCCTAGAAGATTGAGGTTGCTGTGAGCTAGGTGGATGCCACGGCACTCACTCTAGCCTGGGCAACAGAACAAGACCCTGTCTCCAAATCTCTAAAAAAACAAAAAAGCAAGCAAAATCTGTAAATAGAACTCATAAGTTGCTCCCATAGATTCTCTTATGGCAATTAACAATTAGACATTATACAACTGAGTATGGTGGTTCACTCCTACAATCCTAGCATTTTAGGAGGAAGATCACTTGAGGCCAGGAGTTCGAGACCAGCCTAAACAGCATAGTAAGACCTCGTCTCTACAAAATAATTAAAAAAATTAGTCAGGCATGGTAGCACATGCCTGTAGTCCCAGCTACTCAGGAGGCTGAGGCAAGACGATTGCTTGAGCCTAGCAATTTGAGGTTGCAGTGAGCTATGATGATACCACTGCACTCTAGCCTAGGCAACAGAGCCTAGACTTAGACATTATCTAAAACTGCTGCAAAAGGCCTAAAACTCCATTACGTAAGACAAGGGGTTATATGGATTGTCCACTAGCTAACAAAATCTATTGATCTTTTCAAAAAGATTCTACTACTTTCCCCCCTCCTCACTACTGTAGTTGACTAATCTTTTTTTTTTTGGAGACAGAGTCTCACTCTTGTTGCCCCGGCTAGAGTGCCGTGGCATCAGCCTAGCTCACAGCAACCTCAAACTCCTGGGCTCAAGCGATCCTCCTGCCTCAGCCTCCCAAGTAGCTGGGACTACAGGCATGCACCACCATGCCCAGCTAATTTTTTTCCTCTCTCTATATATATATTTTTTAGTTGACCAATTAATTTCTTTCTATTTTTTTTTTAGTAGAGACAGGGTCTCACTCTTGCTCAGGCTTGTCTCAAATCCCTGAGCTCAAACGATCCACCCGCCTCAGCCTCCGGGAGTGCTAGGAATATAGGTGTGAATCCACCACGCCCAGCCCACTTAACTAATCTTAAAAAAAAATTAAAAAAAAAAAAGAGGAGTACTAGTAGGATGGAAGATGACTGCAGTAACTTTGCAGATGTGGCCATTTTCCTAACTTGTCAGTACTTCAAACTTTTTTTTTAAATTCAGAACATACAACATTGTACTGAAACAGTCACCAAATTCATGAACTCAGTTCCTCCGATATGAGTCTATAACTTTAAAACTAGCTATACAGAGTTAAGAGCTGGGTGTGCAAGGAATAAAATAAGATTTCTTACCATATTGGTGTCAGATGACAGACCTAAGAAAGGAAATAAAGTTTTTTAAAATAGTTTTATTAGTCATAAAAGAAGTCAACAATCTTCAAATCAAATTAGACAACAGAAAAACAGTATATAGAACACATGTCCTTTTATCCTATGATGAAAAAGAAAAGGTAGAAATTGCATCTAGAGATCATGTCTGCATTCACTGCTGGTGGGAACATAAAATGATACGGCTACTTTAGAAACAGTCTGGCAGTTCCTCAAAAAGTTAAACACAGAGTTACATATGATCCAGCAATTCCACTCTTAGATATATATCCAGGAAAAAAGAAAACATGTATCTACACAAAAACTTGTACACAAACTTCATAGCAGCATTATTCATATTAGACAAAAAGTGAAAACAACCTAAACATCATCAATTGATTGTATAAAATGTGATATATTCATACAATGGAGTATTATTCAGCAATAAAAAGGAATGAAATAGTGAGACATGCTACAACATAGATGAACTTTGAAAACTATGCTCACTGAGGCTGTGCCCAGGGGTTCACACCTGTAATCCTAGCACTCCAGGAGGCCAAGGCAGACGGACTGTTTGAACTCAGGAGTTTGAGACCAGCCTGAGCAAAAGCAAGACCCTGTCTCTACTAAAAAAATAGAAACAAATTAGCTAGACAACTAAAAATATACAGAAAAAATTAGCTGGGCATGGTGGCACATGCCTGTAGTCCCAGCTAATCAGGAGGCTGACGCAGCAGTATCGCTTGAGCCCAGGAATTTGAGGTTGCTGTGAGCTAGGCTGATGCCATGGAACTCTAGCCTGGGCAACAGAGTGAGACTCTGTCTCAAGGAAAAAAAAAACTATGCTAAGTGAAAGAACCCAGTTACATACTGTACGATTTCATTTATACAAAAGCAAATTTAAATAGAAAAAAATTAGAGGTTGCTTAGGTTCTCTAGAGGGGAAGAGGGAATGGGAGATAACTGCTAATGGGCACAGGGTTTCTTTTTGGGGTGATGATGGTTGCACAACCCTGTAAATATAGTAAAAAAACAATGGATTATATACCTTACATGGATGAACTCTCTGATATATGAATTATATCTCAGTAAAGCTGTTAATAAAGAAGAGATGTATCTGGACAAACAAGCAAAACTACTAACCTGAGTTGAAATTATGGCTTCCTAAGACCAATTTTCTTTCCTGAAAGTACCACTGAGAAGCAAGTAGTAAATTGGCCTCTAGGCTCAACCCTAACCTATATTATTTCTGTTAAACTTTTCAGAATTTCATTAAAAAAAAACTTCCTTTTAAATGTTTCCAAATTCTATTCTTTAAAGAGTTAATCTGTAGTTCTAGGATGTCACAATTATATAATACTGCAAATGTTATCTATACATTATTTTATAGATCAGGTTTCCTTTTCAGACCATTTTTAGCTTTTATCTTTCCTCAAATAGCACCATCTTTAATCATTTCTGTTGTATTTTCGCCAATTCTATAATATCTCTCTTGATATAACTAAGAGCCAGAAAATATTTTGTTTCTAATACTTAGTGAGGCCAGTGCAGTGGCTCATGCTTATAATCCCACCAGCACTTTGTGCCGTCAAGGTGGGAGGATCAGTTGAGGCCAGGAGTTCAAGACCAGCCTAGGCAACATAGCGAGAACCTGTCTCTACAAAAAAATTGTTAAAAATTAGCCAGGTGTGGGTGGCAGCACACACCTATAGTTCCAGCTACTTGGAAGGCTGAGGTAGGAGGATCACTTGAGCCCAAGAATTTGAGGTTGCAGTGAGCTATGATAGCATCACTGCACTCCAGCCTGGGCGACATAGCAAGATCCTATCTCCCAGGTAGAGGGTGGGGGGAACTTAGTGAAAGTGTCTAGAATTTTTCTTGTCTTCTTAAAAGCACAGAAAAATACTACAACAAGATCTCTGAGATCTTCTTACCTCTGACATTTTCTTACCAACTTAAAACTACTGACAGGTCACTAGGAAGACTGGATTAGACTAGAAGACTACATTTAAATTTAAGTCTCTGAGAACAGGGGGCTATGTTCTTTTTCAAAATAATAAATATTTCCACTAATTTATTACCAAAATAATACATAGTCATCGTATGGATTTAAAAAACAGACAAGCAAAAAGAAACCATGCAAAATTCCACCAATCAGAGATAATGAGTGCTAATAATTCATAATAGTATACAGTCATGCCTCAGTATCCACGGAGGGAATTGGTTCCAGAACCCTCCCCCAGATACCAAAGTCCACACATGCTCAGGTCCCACAGGAGATATGAAAAGTTGACCCTCCATATCCACAGGTTTCACATCCTGAGTATACTGTATCTATATTTTTGAACTGAGTTTGGTTGTGATGAATCCTCAGATACAGAGGGCCAAATGAATTTACTGAAAAATATCTGAGTATAAGTAGACGCATGTACTTCAAACCCATAGTTCAAGTTCAATTCTATAGTTTCTAATCTTTTTCCCTATCCATAATGCACTCTTTAATAACTAAAATGGGAATATGCTATTCTATCTTTCTTCATTAATATGTCTTTTATAAATATTTTTCAATATCATTTTAAACATAGTATAGGTCTTCAATACTATAAACTATACTATGGACACACATTTATTTAACCAATTCTGTTATATATTTGGTTTATTTAACCAATTCTGTTATATATTTGGTTGTTTCTATTTATTGATCACTATAAATAATGCTGTGACAATCCTGGTAGCGATATCTTTAAGTACATTCAAAATTATTTCCTTACAAGTTCCTAGAAGTAAAACTGTTTTAAGATAAAAGATATTCTTTTCCCTTTTACCACTTATACTAGCTAGTGTAACACTGGATAGGTACACAATAATTCTATGCTGATGAGACACTAGAATAAATAAGCAAAGTATCAGAAACTTCTCTAATGATGGATGTTCAAAGAAAGGAAGACAAAGGGTGGCAGTTCCTAACCTTTTACAACTTCAGTACCTTCTTTTTTTTTTTTTTTGAGCAGAGTCTCACTTTGTTGCCCAGCTAGAGTGAGTGCCATGGCGTCAGCGTAGTCTCACAGCAACCCAAACTCCGGGCTCAAGTGATCCTCCTGCTCAGCCTCCTGAGTAGCTGGGACTACGCATGCACCACCATGTCCGGCTAATTTTTCTATGTATTTAGTTGGCCAATTAATTTCTTTTTATTTATAGTAGAGACGAGGTCTCGCTCTTGCTCAGGCTGGTTTCGAAATCCTTGAGCAATCCGCCTGCCTCGGCCTTCCAGAGTGCTAGGATTACAGGCGTGAGCCACTGCGCCCGGCCAGTACCTTCTCTTAAATGTCCAAGAAAGCAATTACAATTTTACCTAAAGCAAAGAGGTTAATGTTATAACCTCTTAAGGGCTTCTAGAACTAACAAGTTTACCTTATTTTGGAGAAATGAAATCTGCTGTGCCAGAAAAGAAATATGAAGATAACTTTCTCAGAGGAGTCTCTGTACACTTACCTTTTGTTGGAACTGAAGAAATCCCAAATCTATAGAAAAAAGAACAAGCTAAATTTTAGGAAGCTGTTCTCACTCCTGGTTGTCTATCTCCGTTTCAAGTATACATATGACACTTCTTGCTTCTGATCTCAAGCCTTGCAATCATTAGCTAATTCTAACAACCCCATGAAAGAGGTCCAGTTTACTCTCCTTCTCACTAAGAGTCCAGAGAATAAGCTAAAAGGAAACATTATCAGAATCAGGAGTAGCAGTCAGTTCCTGACTTTTATCATTACAAAAACCCTGCTCAATAATACCAAAGCCCAATCTATAGCTCTACATCCAAATCAGTAAAGATATTCTGAATAGAGCCCCAAAAGTGTTAATTTCCTTTCAACAAGTCTGTATTCTACTTAAAATCAACAATTATATCTAAAATCTAGGATCATGTCTCCTTCCCTTTATACCATATCACCATCTCAGGCCCAAAAGGCTGGGGGCACTCACCTAGCTGCCCTTGCAGCTTTTTTACTCTCCAAGCTGACAGGTACATTGAATCGTTCAGCCCTCTTCTGCATTCTCTAAGTGAAAACAGACAAAAGAAGGGGTAGAGAAAAATTTAATTTCTGGTTTAAAAAAGTTGGTTATAGGCCGGGCGAGGTGGCTCACACCTGTAATTCTAGCACTCTGGGAGGCTGAGGCGGGAGGACTGCTCGAGGTCAGGAGTTCAAAACCAGCCTGAGCAAGAGTGAGACCCCATCTCTACTATAAAGAGAAAGAAATTAATTGGCCAACTAAAAATATATAGAAAAATTAGCCGGGCATGGTGGCACATGCCTGTAGTCCAGCTACTGGGGAGGCTGAGGCGGAGGATAGCTTGAGCCAGGAGTTTGAGGTTGCTGTGAGCTAGGTGATGCACGGCACTCTAGCCCAGGCAACAGAGTGAGACTCTGTCTTAAAAAAAAAAAGTTGGTTATAGGTGGGTATTTAAGAACATCAGGAGTAATTCTTTAAGGTATAAACTGACAAAACTGATCTCTAGAGGATATCAGATTGTGTCCATATTGGGAATTAACAGCCTTTCCAGAAAGCAAACACAATAAGCTATTATTACATACATTCTTCAAAACAAAAGAGAGAATAAATAAAATAAAACCTACATTCTGAAAGAAGCTAAGAAGACAAAAGCTGTGTTTTGGGGGGCGTGGTAGCTCACGCCTGTAATCCTAGCACCTGGGAGGCCGAGGTGGGTGGATTGCTCAGGCAGGAGTTCGAAACCAGCCTGAGCGAGACCCTGTCTCTACTAAAAATAGAAAGAAATTAATTAACCAACTAAAAATATATACACAAAAAATTAGCCGGGCATGGTGGCACATGCCTGTAGTCCCAGCTACTTGGGAGGCTGAGGCAGTAGGATTGCTTGAGCCAGGAGTTTGAGGTTGCTGTGAGCTAGGCTGATACTACGGCACTCACTCTAGACTGGGCAACAAAGTGAGACTCTGTCTCAAAAAAAAAAAAAAAAGCTATGTTTGGTTGACCTTTGAAAAGAGATCAAAAGAACAGCTTAGTTCCAACACTAGCAGTACTCTTTCAGTTAAAAACGAGACAGTGTTGTCTTATGCCATTAGAAAACAGTTTAATAATTCTCTACTTTGAGGGGTACAAAACTGAACACAGGATCTCAACTGCAACATGGTTTTGGAGATACTGAGACAATTCAGAGAAACTTCAATCTCATCTACTATCGAGTAGCAATATAACACTGACATCTACCATTACTTTTTCAAGGTACAAACATTCCGAACTCTAATCCTAGGTTGGTAAACATCTTAAAGAGCTAGACACCATTAAGGTCACGGTACTATATACAAAAAAGACCACAGCTTCAAAGGTGACTACCCACTGTGCCAGACCAAATATTTTCCAAAAAATGACTGGCAGAGAAATGTTATCAACATCAAAATCTGTCAATACTGACTTTCTGCCTGTAAATAAATTTTAAAATGATAATGCAGATAAAATGAAAGGTTAGAGAGAAATGTAGAGACTGTTCTACTAGGGAAAAGAATACCTACCTCAGTCTGTGGTATTTCAGATGTAATTTTTACCACTTTCTTCTCTGCTGCCCTGGAAAAGAAGAAAGAGATTTTTTTGTGGCATTTAGTTATTTTTTTTAAATAAGAAAGAGATTTTTAAAAATCAGAAAACTGATATTCTAAAACAAAACCTTAGTAATGTACAAGAATTGATGTGACTCACATCCTCTGCCCTATAGCTCTGCCACTCCTTAGTATGAAGAAACATCAAGTCCATTAGAACTTTGATTCTTGAATTGTCATCTATTTAGAAGAGTTCAAATAACAGATTAAGCTACTTTAGCTAAGGGGTATAGAAAGTAATCAGGGAAGAAGTCTGGTTAAATACATTGGGCTGGCTGGGAGCGGTGGCTCACGCCTATAATCCTAGCACTCTGGGTGGCCAAGGCGGGCGGATTGCTCGAGGTCAGGAGGTCAGGAGTTTGAAACCAACCTGAGCAAGAGTGAAACCCCATCTCTACTATAAATTAAAAAAGAAATTAATCGGCCAACTAATATATATCGAAAAAATTAGCTGGGCATGGTGGCACATGCCTGTAGTCCCAGCTACTCAGGAGGCTGAGGCAGCAGGATTCCTTGAGCCCAGGAGTTTGAGGTTGCTGTGAGCTAGGCTGATGCCACAGCACTCACTCTAGACTCTGTCATAAATAAATAAACAAATAAACAAACAAACAAATAAATAAATAAATACATTGGGCTGAAAAGAAACACTTAAAAGACACCAGAAACCATCTCATTAGCTTTCAGGAATTTTAAAATTTATTTTTGGACTATCTTTCCAACCCTCATTTAAATACCAGCTCTAAATTCTCATAACAACAATTAATGAGTACTCCTATAAGGCCTGGTTTCCTTCTTTTAAAAATCCCTTATTTCTCTCATGGGGACTGTAGCTCCACCTCAAACAGTCAAAATGGAACAAATAAAAATGCCAAAGGCAGTGGAAAAAAAAAAGGCTAAGGGGAATTTGAATTAGGAAAACATAGTAAGTTACTGGTCAAAAGGTTTAAGAGAAAACAAAAGAGGGGGGACCATAGGGGCGGGAGAGAAGGTTCAGAAGTACCCAGGATAAATGGAAGGGCATTAACTCTCCACCAAACAACTCCCATAAAACTGTGGGTCATAACCAGTCTCATTAAGGTCCCTCATTTAGAGACATGGGCGGCTTTTGTTCCAATATCCCGGACACTTTTCCCATTTGAAGTCCTGAAAGGTAGTAATGGCTTAATGACATTTTCAGAGGAAGCAATTCTAGAACAGGAACTTACTCGCTCCTCCATCCTTTTGTTGGAGGTCCTAGGACTGACAGACTAGCAATGGGTGCCCCCTACTGACCATAACTAAGTCCTACAATATTTAATGGCTTTGGTGTTTGGAGGGGATCAAACTAGAAACACAGGTATATTTTTGAAGAACCTCAGATGAAGTAACGGGATCTCCTTTTAAATATTCAAAGAATCTAAATTAGTCCTGAATATTCTGACTTTTAAAGAAATTTCTAAATTCGTCCCATTCCTGGACATCCTTTCCTAACCCTCTGCCTTATTCAGGCACAAAAGGCCAAAAAAGTTTAATGTTTTACTTGAAGTCTAATGACATAAAGAGAGCAGTTTTCTCCATCAACTCCAGGGTAATGACTTCCTCCACATTCTCATCCTGAAGCACAATCACTGCAGTACATCTCATGGCAGAAAGGGAACTACAGAGAGGAAGCTTCCTTCCGCTCTATTCCAATTCCTTCAGGCACAATTAGACTCAAGCAATAAATACACATCACATTCTGGGACTCACGGGAAATTTCCACTCTTCACTGAAAAATTTCTCTCCTATCACAGTCACATATAAAACACTCCCTAAAATACAGGGACCCAGAATCTTTCTGTACATACTTTAGTCTAACCATAACTATCCCTCCAAAAAGCAAAATTACCACTCCCCACACACTTTCAATTTCCTTGTTTTGAAATTTTTTAATAGAATTAAAGCCCCCTGAACAAGAGAATTACACATTTTACATATTCTGTGAATAATGAACTTCTTCAAATTTACAACCTCTATTTTTTTAACCCACAAAAGTCAATTATCATTGTATTCACTTGATCTTCCTTTTTGTCCCAGAAGCCCCCAAAACATCTCTATTTTAAAACTATTCTACTAAGTCATTTTCTCAAGGCACTATATCTAATCATAAACCTCCTAAGCTGGGAAGATAACTAAATGGCTTTAGAAATAATATTTGACAAAAATCTACCAAAATATTAACTGTACACCATCTGTGATGAAGCAAATCCACTGCTAGGAATTTATCCTATGAACATACTTGCATAACTACAAATAGTTGGATGAGGACATACAAGGCTACTTTTTTTCTTTTATGAGTAATCTAAATGTCCATCAACAGGAGACTAGTGAAATAAATTACTGTTCAACCACAGAATGGAGTACTATTAGATGCCAGAAAGAATAAGGTTCTTGAAATCCAGATTCAAACTGAGAGAGAGAAAAAAAAAAGAAAACAATAAGGTTCTAAGTTGATTATTACTAAATCTCAGTGATGGGTAGATGAGGGTCTATTATATTTTTCTTATGACTTTTGTATATATTTGCAATTTCCCATAACAAGCTAAAAAAAAAAAAGACTACTTACTATAATTATCCCTACATCATAGGGTCAATGTGAGGATTAAATAAGGATACATGTAAAATACAATCATGTCTAGCATGTAACTAACATTTAAATAAGGACATTATTATGAAGATATAGAAAAATCTCCAGATGTGGAAAAAAAATCAAGAAAGTGTGTATATATGCATCTATATATACATATATACATACATACACAGACACAATATATAAAATATTCCAAAATAATGTACTGTACTAAAAACCTCTGCAAAGTCAGATGGCCGTGGATACAAGAGGTACTTAATTTTCAATTTGTATACTCCTCTATGTACTATTTGACTTTTTACTTGTACATATATTGCCTTTTATAATTAATGCATTAACACAGCTATGAGGAACAAAAATGTTAAAAGGGACTCAACTGTTCTTAGTGTGCTGAAGTACAAAATGGCCAGACATTTGTGGAAAGAGCCCCAAATCAAAGATGTTTATGATCGACCTTGTGGGATAGTTTAAACAAATCGAGATCCACTTTCCACTCTAGATTTTGTCCTCCCCTCCTCCACTGTAAATCAAAAAGCAAGAGAGAATACAGTGTTACTTGAGAAACATAACCTCTGCCCAACACCCTCCTCCCTTACAAAACTCCTTATATACAGTTTTATACTTTTCTGTAAAAGTATAGAACTCTATAAAGAGCAAGAGAGTTTACAGTTTTACACCATAAAGACAATTGTATAGATTCTCCTTACAGTAACAGAATAATCTATTATGGTGATCCAACAAAAGAATAACAAAGGCTAGGAGAACTACACTGTGTCTGAGCTTGAAGTCACCTGGTTCTAACTACCTGGAGACAAACTATTGAGTGAAGTAGACCCTTTTGAAAATGTAGGAACTAAGCAGAAATGAAAGGCCAATGGGAATATGTAAGAGGTAAACAAAGTTAAGCACTAAACCCACTAGAAACAGAACTGCCTATTCTGTACTCAGATTATAAAAAAGTTTGAAACCAGCCTGACCAAGGGCGAGACCCCATCTCTACTATAAATAGAAAGAAATGAATTGGCCAACTAATATATAGAGAAAAAATTAGCCCGGCATGGTGGTGCATGCCTGTAGTCCCAGCTCCTTGGGAGGCTGAGGCAGAAGGATAGTTTGAGCTCAGGAGTTCAAAACCAGCCTGAGCAAGAGCGAGACCCCGTCTCTACTATAAATAGAAAAAAACTAATTGGCCAACTAATATATATAGAAAAAATTAGCCGGGCCTGGTGGCACATGCCTGTAGTCCCAGCTACTTGGGAGGCTGAGGCAGTAGGATTGCTTGAGCCAGGAGTTTGAGGTTGCTGTGAGCTAGGCTGATGCCACAGCACTCACTCTAGACTAAAAAAGTTGGTTATAGGTGGGTATTTTAAGAACATCAGGAGTAATTTCTTAAGGTATAAACTGACAATACTGACAATCCTAGAGGATATCAGATTGTGTCCATATTGGGAATTAACAGCCCTTTCCAGAAAGCAAACACAATAAGCTATTATTACATACATTCCTTCAAAAACAAAAGAGAGGAATAAAATAAAATAAAACCTACATTCTGCATGAAGCTAAGAAGACAAAAGCTGTGTTTGGGCCGGGCGTGGTAGCTCACGCCTGTAATCCTAGCACTCTGGGAGGCCGAGGTGGGTGGATTGCTCGAAACCAGCCTGAGCGAGACCCTGTCTCTACTAAAAATAGAAAGAAATTAATTAACCAACTAAAAATATATACACAAAAAATTAGCCGGGCATGGTGGCACATGCCTGTAGTCCCAGCTACTTGGGAGGCTGAGGCAGTAGGATCGCTTGAGCCCAGGAGTTTGAGGTTGCTGTGAGCTAGGCTGATACTACGGCACTCACTCTAGCCTGGGCAACAAAGTGAGACTCTGTCTCAAAAAAAAAAAAAAAGATTATAAAAAAGGATAATTACACATCAACAGTTTTTTCAGGGGGTTCTTCCTCTTTGACAGGAAGTTCTATGGGCTTTGGTTCTTCTTCCTAAAACCAAATAAAACAAGATGGTTAACATAAATCAGAAGAGTAAATACCCATCAACAGAAAAATATCAGAACTCTAAAGTAAACAGTCCCTCAGAACCTTCATACCCTCTTATGCTCCCCTAATAAATTAGCATCTAAATCCTCCAATGATAGATGCTAAGCAATGTGGCCAAAGCAGGGGCACATTACCAGGCCAATGATTAACCTTACTTTATCCAACTCACCTCTGTTTCATCTCCCAGTACATCTTCTTCATTCGCCTCCTCTTCAGCTAAAGAATATTAAAATATTCAGGTCAAGCCCTGCTATAAAACTATCTTGATCACTGTATTAAGGCTAAAATTATAATCACTCTGCCTTCCCAAAATAAAATTCAATAATGAAGGCAGAACTGACACAAAGTTTGGTATACGTGGAGAAGCTAAAACCAGACCTCCACCTAACATTAACACAAAGTTGAACTCCAGCTAGACTGAAGAACTAAATGTAACAAGGTCAAACTACAAAATTAATTTAAAAAGTAATATGGAAAAATGTCTTTTGAGATTTAGTGGTGGGAAGGATTTGTTAAAAAAAAAAAAAACAGAAGGAAAAATAAAAAATTAATGATTTCTCAAAACTAAGGACTTCTCTTTAAGGAATGACATGAAAAAACTTGAGACAAATAACAAAGAAGATATTTGTTCCTAAAACCTACAAGGGAATAGTTATTACAATATAAAAGAAATGCTTGCAAGCCAACAAACAAATGATGAGAACTCCAACAGAAAAATGGGCAACGAAGAAGCCCAAAGAACCATGAACACAAGAGATGTTCAAACATTTTTCATAGAGAAATATAAATTGAAACAACCCACAAATTAGCAAAACTTAGGCCACTCAGCCGGGCATGGTGGTTCATACCTATAACCATAGCATTCTGGGAGGCTGAGGCGGATGAATCATTTGAGCTCAGGAATTTGAGCAAGAGTGAGACCCCATCTCTACTAAAAAAAAATAAACTTAGGCCACTTGATAGGACAGTGCCAAGTTTAGGTTTGTAGAGATACAAGAATCCTTATGCACTGGTGATGAAAGTATAGACTGATAGAGCAATTCTGGAAAATAATTTGGCAGTGATTAATGATATTAAGTATATATCTATAAATATATAATAATTAGCAATCCCATTCCTGGGTATATACCCCAAAAGATTCTTACAGGAACATAAGAGCACGAAAGAAGTACTTCATAATAATAGTATACTATATACTACAGGTTGAGCATCCCTAATCTGAAAATCTGAAACCTGAAATGCTCCTAAATCCAAAACTTTTTGAGTGCTGACATGACGCCACAAGTGGAAAATTCCACACCTGACCTAATGTGACAGGTCATTGTCAAAAATTTGTTTCATATACAAAATTATTAAAAATATTGTACAAAATTACCTTTAGGCTATGTGTATAAGGTGTATATGAAACATAAATGAGGCCAGGTGTGGTGGCTCATGCCTGTAATCCTAGCACTCTGGGAGGCCAAGGCGGGCGGATTGCTCGAGGTCAGGAGTTCAAAACCAGCCTGAGCGAGACCCCCATCTCTACTAAAAATAGAAATTGACCAACCAAAAATATATATATATATAAATTAGGGCCGGGCTCGGTGGCTCATGCCTGTAATCCTAGCACTCTGGGAGGCCTCAGCAGGGGGATTGCTCAATTGAGGTCAGGAGTTCAAAACCAGCCTGAGCAAGAGCGAGACTCTGTCTCTACTATAAATAGAAAGAAATTAATTGGCCAACTAATATATATACAAAAAATTAGCTGGGCATGGTGGCGCATGCCTGTAGTCCCAGCTACTCGGGAGGCTGAGGCAGCAGGATTGCTTGAGGCCAGGAGTTTGAGGTTGCTGTGAGCTAGGCTGATGCCATGGCACTCACTCTAGCCTGGGGCAACAAAGCGAGACTCTGTCTCAAAAAAAAAAAAAATTAGCTGGGCATGGTGGTGCGTGCCTGTAGTCCTAGCTACTTGGGAGGCCAAGGCAGTAGGATTGCTTGAGCCCAGGAGATTGAGGTTGCTGTGAGCTAGGCCGACGCCATGGCACTCACTCTAGCCTGGGCAACAAAGTGAGACTCTGTTTCAATCAATCAATCAATCAATCAATAAAATGAATTTTGTGTTTAGGCTTTTATCACATCCCTAAGATATCTCAATATATATATACAAATATTCCAAAACCAAAAAAAATCTGAAATCTGAAACACTTCTGGTCCTAAGCATTCAGATAAGGGATACTTAAACTGTAATATAATACCTACTATTACATACATATAGTATTAATCCATGTAGTATTCTATGAGTAATACATACCAAACACATTAAAATGGTTGCCTATGGGGGTTGCAGGAAGTGAAATGAGGAATGGGAATAAATTAAAAAAATTAAACTCAAGTCTTCCAATTCCCAGCCTAATGATACTTGTATTATCATGCTACCTTTTAAATAACATGCTGAAATAACATTATGTCTTTTAAAAAAAGGAAGTATTTCTTTGCCATATAATCACTGTTCTGGATAAACAGTTTTTTTGATGCTGTTATCTAAGAGCTTTACAAATTACCTAAAAAAAGAAGAAATCTTCTAAGTGTCAAAGCCTGAAAATTAATCCCCTCATTCACATTACTCTGCTTCCACAAGGCACTCACCATGCTCTTCAAGATATGCCTGGAGCCTGTTGATGAGATCTTGTTTTATCCCCTTGGTCTCCAAACCACGAGCAAGACATTCTTGCTTTAGTTCAGCAAGCTGAGGGAAAAAAATAAAACTTTTCCTTAGTTATTCAGATGTATGCCAGGAATAAAAAAAGGTAGTTCTCACCAGAAAATAAAGATCAATCCCAAATTACCATCCTTAATCCTACCAAGACTCTAGGTCTACAAAGATGATCTACTTTCCTCTAACAATACTCAATATGCTAAAGGATTCTTCTAATAGATGCTGAAGAGTAAATATCACACTTTAATAAAAATCTGATCTATTTGTGTATCTATTTATTATCACAAATATTGTTATTTTGGAATAATTCTGGGAGAAAAAAGGTTTTTTCCTAAAGGTTACTGTGCCAGCTAGTACATGGGAAGAATGAACCTTCAGAAAACCCAATGATCTAAAACCAGATACTCTTTACCACCTATTATCACAGATCCTTTATTATAATCTACCACATACATGCATACAGATCTAACCACTGTAGAATTAATTAGCAGATATGTTAGTTACCTTAATGTCAACAATGAATTGATTAAACAATCAATGTCAAAATGGAAAGAAATATCTAACGGTACGCTATAGAGCTCTGTTGAAGATTTTAAAATCAGTAACTTGACTAAAGATATAAAAAGCATGCTTACCAACTTTACAGACAGTAGGAGGAAGAACTGGTGGATTATACTAAGCTTAAAAAACAAAACAGAAACAAACAAAAAAAACCACCTCTTCAGGGAGAACAATGAGCCAAAATGAAGACTCAGTTTAGAAGAAACAGGATATAACATATTCAAAACTTCAGTTGTACAAAAACGGGATGAGGGAGATCTGGCTCAACAATAAATCAAAGGATAAATACCTTACAGTTTTAGGCAAAGAGAGTTAACAGTACGATTTGCTACCAACATAATTCTAAGTCATAGGTAACTGAAACATAGAATCAATAACAAATAATGTAAGTGGCCTCACTGGATTCTATATTCTTATTTTATGAAGCATAATGACCTGCTGATACAAGGAGAACAAGCAGGAAAAGAAATACTCCAGAAATCCTATATGTACATCAGCACACAAATAGATGTCTGATCTAAAGATAACCTATTGGTTTTGAAGTACTGATCTAAGACCAACCAATAGAACTTAGAAAGCAGATTCCTACAGAAGAACTTTACAACTACAGAGTACGCTCTGTATCTCTACAAGGGGAGCACTGGAAATGGAGAGTGGAGCTTTTTTTTTTTTTTAACATACCACAATGATTGTTAGAACATTTAGGGAGTAGGGCAGGCTGGGATGTTATGCAGAGAACTGGCCTACCCAACAAGCCAAGAGCAAGTATCCCTTATTGAGAAGCAAGGCAGGTAATCACTCATTAAAAATTATTTTTGAGCCAGGCACAGTGGTTCATACTTATAATTCCAGCACTCTGGGAGGCCGTGGTGGATTACTTGAGCTCAGGAGATTGAGGTTGCAGTGAGCTATGATAACGCCACTGCACTCTAGCCAGAATTGAAAAAAATAAAAAAAGTAGGCCAGGCGTGGTGGCTCACGCCTGTTATCCCAGCACTCTGGGAGGCTGAGGCAGGAGGACAGTTTGAGCTCAGGAGTTTGAGACCAGCTTGAGTAAGAGCGAGACCACATCTCTACTAAAAAAAATAGAAAGAAATTAGCTGGACAACTAAAATATATAAATATATAAATAAAAAATTAGCTGGGCATGGTGGTGCATACCTGTAGTCCCAGCTACTTGGGAGGCTGAGGCAGGAGGATAGCTTGAGCCCAGGAGTTTGAGGTTGCTGTGAGCTAGGCTGACACCATGGCACTCTAGCCAGGGCAACAGAGTGAGACTCTGTCTCAAAAAATAGATAAATAAATAAATATAAATAATAAAAATCATTTTTATTTATTTTTTTAGCAGGGGGTTTTGGCTTTTTTTTTTATTTCAGCATATTATGGGGGTACAAATTTTAAGATTTCACATGATGTCCTTGCCCTCCCTCCCCAGACAAGTCTGAGCTCCAAGTGTGACCATCCCCCAGACAGTACATATCTCACCCATTATGTATGTATATACTCGTTCCCTTCTCCTTCCTCCCACCTGCCCAATACCCAATTAGTGTAATTCCTATGTGTCCACTTAGGTGCTGATCAGTTAATACCAATTTGCTGGTGAGTATATGTGGTGTTTGTTTTGGACTGCAAACTAGTTCAACCTCTAAGGAAAGCAATATGAAGATAGATACCTTAAAGTGATACAAGTAGATCTACCATTTGATCCAGCAATCCCATTACTGGGCATCTACCCAAAAGATCAAATGACACTCTACAACAAAGACACCTGCACTCGAATGTTTATAGCAGCACAATTCACAATTGCGAAGCTGTGGAAACAACCCAAGTGCCCATCAATCCATGAGTGTATTAATAAAATGTGGTATATGTATACCATGGAGTACTATTCAGCTCTAAGAAACAATGGTGATATAGCACATCTTGTATTTTCCTGGATAGAGCTGGAACCCATACCACTAAGTGAAGTATCCCAAGAATGGAAAAATCATTTTTAAGGCTTCTGCCTATTTTAAAAAAATGATTGCAGAGTAACTGCAGAGTAGGGTGCTGGGTGGTGGTGGGGAGAGTGACTATAGAGTATAGTAGTTATGAACATAGCCTCTGAAGTCAGACTACCTGAGTTCAAATTCCAGCGTTACCACCTGCAAATATGTAACCTCAGGTGACTAACTTCATCTCTCTGTGCCTCAGTTTCCTTACCAGTGAAATAAAAATAACAACAGTATCTATCCCATAGGGTTGTTCTGAAGATTAAACCAGTAAATTCTGAAAAGTATTTAGAACAGTATGGAGCTCCAGTGGCGCAATCGGTTAGCGCGCGGTACTTATACAGAACAGTACTTGGCAACTAGTGAGTACTTTGTGTTAGACACTGGGTGAAGGATTAAACAAGATTACACAAAATCAATGGTTCTCATATTTTGAAATTTCACAGATCAACGAATGAATGAATTCATTATTGACTGAGTGACTGGTTTTTCGAGACAGGGTGTCTTGCTCTGTTGCCCAGGCTGGACTTAAACTCCTGGTCTTAAGCCATCCTCCAGCCTCAGCCTTCTGAGTAGCTGGGTCTACAGGTATGTGCCACTGAGCCTGGTTCAATGTATATTTAAATAGATAGGCTGATAAAGCTGCTTTTTATCATATTCCAACCAGGTCATAAACCAATACTTTTATAAACAATAAAAATCAATTCCTGGCCGGGCACGGTGGCTCACGCCTGTAATCCTAGCTCTCTGGGAGGCCGAGGCGGGCGGATTGCTCAAGGTCAGGAGTTCAAAACCAGCCTGAGCAAGAGCGAGACCCCGTCTCTGCTATAGATAGAAAGAAATTAATTGGCCAACTGATATGTATATAAAAAATTAGCCGGGCATGGTGGCGCATGCCTGTAGTCCCAGCTACTCGGGAGGCTGAGGCAGGAGGATTGCTCGAGCCCAGGAGTGTGAGGTTGCTGTGAGCTAGGCTGACGCCACGGCACTCACTCTAGCCTGGACAACAAAGCGAGACTCTGTCTCAAAAAAAAAAAAAAAAAAAAAAAAATCAATTCCTAAAAAAATGAGCACATACTTTGGATATAGCAGTGATGTCAAGCTGCTATAAAGTTTCTAAAAGCTTACCCTCAATTTTTCTATTTATTGCATATCTAACCAGTGACAGCTAGTTGATGAATAAGCACGGACCTGTGGACCACACTATAAATAATATTAATCCTTTTTTTTTCTTGCTCTGTTGCCTAGCTCGAATGCGATGATGTGATCATAGCTCATTTGCAGCCTCAAACTCCTGAGCTCAAGTGATACTCCTGCATCAGCCTCCCAAGTAGTTGGAACTATGGGTGCACATCACCATACCTGGCTAATTACTAAAAAATGTTTGTAGAGACAGGATCTCTCTCTTGCCATGTTGCCTAGGCTGCTCTCAAACTCCTGGTTTCAAGTGATCCTCCTCCTTTGTCCTCCCAAAGTGCTAGAATTACAGGAGTGAGCCACCATACCTGGCCAACAACATTAATCAAGAATCTAGACTCTGAATAACCTTTAATGTCCACTTCTTAAGTAAGAATCTTGATCTTTCTCACACTGGTATTTTCTTTTTTTTTGACACAGTCTCACTCTGTTGCCTGGGCTAGAGTGCCATGGCGTCAGACTAGCTCACAGCAACCTCAAACTCCCGGGCTCAAGTGATCTTCCTGCCTCAGCCTCCCAGGTAGCTGGGACTACAGGCACACGCCTCTGTGTTATTTGGCTAATTTCTTTTTCTCTTTTTTTTCTTTGAGACAGAGTCTTGCTTTGTTGCCCAGGCTAGAGTGAGTGTTGTGGCATCAGCCTAGCTCACAGCAACCTCAATCTCCTGGGCTCAAGCAATCCTGCTGCCTCAGCCTCCCGAGTAGCTGGGACTACAGGCATGTACCACCATGCCTGGCTAATTTTTTCTATATGTATTAGTTGGCCAATTAATTTCTTTCTATTTATAGTAGAGACAAGGTCTAGCTCTTGCTCAGGCTGGTTTCAAACTCCTGACCTTGAGCAATCCGCCCACCTCAGCCTCCCAGAGTGCTAGGATTACAGGCATGAGCCACTGCGCCCGGCCTCTTTCTATTTATAGTAGAGATGGGTCTCGCTCTTGCTCAGGCTGGTCTTGAACTGCTGAGCTCAAACTATTCTTCTGCCTCAGCCTCCCAGAGAGCTAGGATTACAGGAGTGAGCTACCATGTCTGGCCTCTTTATTTTCTTTCAGCTCTCTAGAGAATGAGTCTTTTGATTTTAGTTACACTTTAAAATTTTTTGTTGGTTGTTATAAAAACATTATGTTCCCTGTAGAATAGTTAGAAAATCCTGCAAAGTACAGAGGAAAGAAAATAAGTCCTATGTAATCCCAGACACTTAACATTTTACATATTTCCTTTGCAGTGTGTGTGGTGAGGGAAGGATGTTGGTTGTTCCTTTACAGAGAAATATAGCTTCTTT